GCCTGCCTGCCCCTTCCCCTCTGCCTGGCCCTCAACCCCTCCCTGCCCCTCCCCCCTTGCCTGCGCCTCTCCCCTTGCGAGGGTGCGGGGAAGCGCGGAGAGGAAGCGCTCGTCGTCGGAGTCGAGGTCGTACACCACGTGGCGGCTGCCGGGCCGCACGCGCTCCGCCTCGTCCACGCCGCGGATGTACCCCCCCGGGGGGACGAACGCCTCGCGCCCCTCACCCGCCTCCGCGCCTTCCCCCGGCCCCGCCACGCTCTCGCTGCTGGCGCTGCTGCTGGCCGCGCACGCGGAGGAGCCGCGCAGGCGCCAGCGCCAGGGCACGAGGCGCACGCCGGGGATGGGGATGCGGCGCGCCGACACGGCGCGGCTGTTGCGCTGGGCGCATGAGTCGTGCAGCTGCTGGAACCTTCGCCACTCCTTCCTCTCCGCGAACTCCAGCGCCCACGAGGCCGCGCTGCTGCCCGCGTCGGCGTCGGGGGGCCGCCACATGATTGCGCCCGTCACGCGGTTGCTGCTGCCCGTCGCCCCCGCCTGCTCCGGGCGGTACGAGAAGCGCGCGTGGCCGCGCAGCAGCACGGCGAGCACGTGCGCGCTCGCCCCGCCGCCCTCCTCGTCGCCCACCACCCGCGCCTCCACGGCGGCCCCGCCCTCGCGCCACCCGCGGTCGCCCTGCACCACCAGCACGCTCGCCGCGCACACGCCACACGGGCTGCCCGACCGATCCGACGCACACGTGGCAGCGTCGCACTCGTCACCCAGCCACAGCCCTGGCGGCTCGTCCACAGGGTGGCGGCGCTTCTTGCCCGCGGACGGGCCTGCCTTGTCTGGCGCGGGGGCGCCGTTCGCCCCAACGACCAGTGGCGACCGCCACCCGCGCTTGCCCTTGCCCTTGCCCTTGCCCTTACCCTTCCCTCGCCCCTTGCCTCTGCCCAACCCTTGACCCTGTTGCTGCTGCTGCTGCTGCTGCCGCTGTTGCTGTTGCTGCTGCTGCTGCAGCTGCTGCTGTTGCTGTTGCTGTTGCTGTTGATGTTGCTGTTTCTGTTGTTGATCCTGCTCCTCCTCCTCCTTATCCTGATGCTGCTGCTGCCCTTGCCCCAGCCCGTGCTCCTGCTGTTGTTGATGTTGTTGTTGCTGCTGCTCCTGCCCCTGCTTCTGTTCCTGTTGCTTCTGATGCTCCTGTTGCTGATCCTTCCCCTGCTGCTGCTGATCCTGACCCTGCCCCTGGTGCTGCTGTTGGTGTTGCTGTCGTTGCTGCTGCTGCTCCTGTCCCTGTTCCTGCTCCGTTTGCTGCTGCTGCTGCTGCTGCTGCGCCACCTGTGCCTGCTGTAGCCGCTTCAGCTGCTGCTGCTGGAGCGCCTGAAGCAGCTGTCGATCAGCGGGGAGCCAATGCGGTGGTGCAGAGGGCAGAATCGTTGCGTGCGCTCCGCCGTGCGATGCGGGATCGCAGCCGCTGACTGCGCTGCTCTGCACGCGGGGCTGGGATGGAGCGGGAACGACGGCCGACGGACGAGGAAGCGCCGCTGTACGGGGCACCAGTGGATGCTCGCTCTGTGCGGCGGGCAGCGGTTGAAGCGCTTGCTTCTGCCGCAACATAAGGGATGGCGGGAGTAGCAGAGAGGAGGGCGGCTGAGGGCCGGAGAGAAGAAAAGGAACGGTTTTCTCATCCAGCAACGGCCCCTCCGTTGCTCTCCCTGACCCCTGACTCGCGCCCGAAGGAATCACATTCGCCACGAGCGAGGGCCCGCAGGGATCTAATCGACTGCAGACAGACGTGACTGTGACGCCTCCCTGGGTCGTTTGAGTCGCGTGATTCGTCTGAGTCGCGTTAATCGCCTGCGTCGCGTGAATCGTCTGAGTCGCGTGAATCGTCTGAGTCGCGTAAATCGTCTGAGTCGCGTGAATCGTCTGAGCTGCGTGAGCCGTCTGGGTTGCGTGAATCGACTGAGACGCGTTAGCCGTCTGAGTCGCGTGAGTCGTCTGCGAAGCGTGAGCTGCTAAACGCGGGTGACACGCCCACATTACAAAAAAAATGGGCGCGAAGCAGTGTTTAGGGTATGTTGTACGACTGTCGCAAGCACCTCCCACAGACACTTAGTAGTTTACTATGAGGATTCCAAGGACAGATTGGTGTCTGTACAATGCCCAGGGGGAATGTCTAGGGTTTCTCCAACCACAATTGCGTGATCGACACCAAGGCAGGATTGTTTCTTTACAGGTTTTAAAAAGGATGGAAATGTTTTCGTTTGTAATTGCAGGCTTCCAGTGCGGTGACGGATCCAAGATTCACTTTCGATCGCCGAAATCGGTGCGAGTGCCACGACTTGGCAGAAGGAAACGCGTTTAGTGTACAAAGTACCCGCTGTGTATTCAATCATTTTAGACTTTCATAATTTGAGAACAAGTTCGTGACAAAATTGAGCATAGCATAAAATACTAATGATACCTAACAGTAATAACACAATTCCTCGTGAATTTTTTTCTGGTTTTAATAGTACAAAATGTTGCGATCAGAAAGTAGATCGTGCCTAGGATCACTCCAGGAAGGTTCGTAGAATCAGAGTGTTGTCTGGTGAGTGGATGGGTTGGTGTTGACCAGCTACCTGACTGCCATGTCGGCTAGAAGATCAAGGGAACCGTGGAACTAGGCATCAGGAGGGCAACCATAGGTCTCTCTCTCACTCTTCCCCTCCCACCCTTCCTCTCGCATAACCCTATGTGACACTGACATGCATACAAAGGCTTATTTCTCTCTCTTCTCTCTCCCCACCTTCTCTCCATTTGTCCTCACCCCTTGTATGTATTCCCTTTCTCTCTCCCCCTCCACACCCCACCCTCTCTATTTCCCTCTTTTTGTTTCCCCCTCCCTCCTCCGCCACTTCCCTGCACACCTCCACGCCCTGTTGCGCTTCGCCTCCTCCATGGGCAGGTGAAAGCATCAGCATTTCTTGCCCGCGTGCACAGCGCTGTGCTAGTTTTGAGGCGCCTCAACAGCGCTGTGCTAGCCGTGAAGGCTCGCCTCGGCACAGTGCACGTCTCTTCATCGGAGGAGCAGGTTGAGAGGGATGAGCAGTTGCTGGACTCGGCAACCGATGCTGCAGAGGAGCTCAAGGCTGCCTTGGTTGTACTGAGCCACGTGTATGTGATGAAGCACAAGATGTAGCCTTTCTTGCCATGCATTTTTACTATGTATTTTTTCCACAAGATGCTGCTATGGTGTATTCTTACAGCGTTGAAGTGGTCTCAGCCTGCTCGTCACTACAGCTGGTTTCTCTCTTTTGTATGTGCTCACATCTGCCAGCCTTTGCTCTGCTGCCCTTTGGCACTTGTGTGCTGCTACCTCCCTGTGATACAGGCACCCAGGCCATTATTATTATTTCTATTATTATTGTCTGAATTTTTTTATTTTCTCGAAATTAGATGCATGCGGCACAAACATGCTATGAATTGTGCAAAATAAAAGTTTATGGAAACAAACTTTAAAATAACACAACAGAACTGGATAAGCCGATGTGAAGCCTCATGACAGATAACGCATCAGAAGAAAAGGAGGGTTTTCTTTGTGCTTCAAAAAGCGAATTTGGAGCGTGTGTTGGATCGGATCCCCCTGGTTTGATTGCTTTTCTTGCCATTTGTCGCGGGAATAATCCACCCTCTGCCTCTGTGTGTCTCAACGGATGAAAGTCCGTCGCTCCCGTTTTGCCCGTGGGAGCGACCGATCCGTCGCTCTCCTAGCGACAGGTCGGCGGAACTGAAACCCCGCCAGCTGGGCCTTATCGGGACCCGCTGCACGCGAGCCCACTTCCCCGCCCCACCTGACTCCGCCCCCCCCCCGCATGTTCTTCATCGGCGACGCGGATACCAACCTGCCTCCGGGAAAGCAAAAACCCAGGAGAACCTGCTAACGAGAACATATGCGAAAACAAATCCGCAGGTCACAAAAATATGCCCTGCCGAAATCAGGCCCTGCGAACGTTGCGACGCATGCACGACCCACCTGAACGAAACAAATTGCCTCGCCAAGGGCGTACCACAAGGGTCGCGTGTATCGTCAACATCGCCATTCGCAAGGCGTGAACAAGGCGTGGACAAGACGTGGAACCATGCACGAGGTCATCACCACGACCTCTGTCCCGCTGACACGTGCACCTCGAATCCCGTGACGAGGCATGTTCCGCGCGCAAAACGCCCACCATGCAGGACATTTGCCTTTCTTCTCCTGCCACGTGCCACGCGGTTCGATGAATCATGGAACACATCCAACCAAAAGTGGTGATGTGCGCGGAACGAGGGTGTATCAACCTATCCCTCGGATGTGTCAGAATCCCAACCACTAGACCATTGGGATAAAAGGGCTTGTTAAGTAGCGGGTCAGTGCACCCATAACCCCCCAAGACAACGAGCCTGTAACCCTTCCCTAGGATCAATCGGGGATCACCGGTGGACCTCTAACACCCCCCCGCACTGGGATGCCCGAAGTGCACACACCGGAATTCGAACCCGAGACCTTCGCTCTGATACCATGTCAGAATCCCAACCACTAGACCATTGGGATAGAAGGGCTTGTTTACGTAGCGGGTGAGTGCGCACATAACCCCCCAGGCCGCCGTGCCTGTAACCCTTCCCTAGGATCGATCGGGGATCACCAGTGGACCTCTGACAGGATGCGCTTCCACATCAGATACAAATGCACGAGCTTCGTTAAGCATGAATCGGACGCACCACATTGGCCGTTGCTTCCCCACACGAAATGGCTCCCCATCTGCAAGCCCGATGGGGTGGGGGTAAGTCTCGGAGAGGTGGCTCATTTTCTCATTTGCTGGTTGAAACTTTCATTCCCCTCCCTTCCAGTCCCTTAAGCCTCTTCCTTCCCTCAGCTCTTCTCGCTAGAGCTATAGTGCCTTGTAGTTTTCGCCGTAGTTGCCTTCTCGGCCGGTAGTGGGGCGTTCGGGTTGTTTCATCGCCCACGAGAAGTACACCATAGTTTGCTTCCGCAGACGATGGCAGATCCTTCTGATAAGGCGGGCGAGCACGACACTGGGTCGGACGCGTTCCAGCCGTTTCGTTATTATCCCTTCCGCGGTGTAGGCCTGGACGTTACGGACACAGATATTTTAGCTCTTTCGGACGATAGGGCACCCGTCACCCCCGCTGCTATGACGCTTGCACTGCTGTGAGTGCCTGTGTTTCTGTTTTATGGCTTGGATGTCCGCACATGGTTTCTCGTGCGAAGGGTGGTTTAGGCTGACGCTATCCACACGAATCGGTTGCAGGCACGCAGAGTCGCTCCTGGACAAGCCAATTAACACACGGATCGTGCCCGCCGAGTTCGTCTGTCGCGCCCTCGAACAGGGTGGATGTGCCTGGATAGTACCACTGAGATTCTCTCTCCACGCATTCCCACATGCAAACCCCCCAGTGTCCCTCTGTGTGCTGCCCGTGTAGCTCAAAGCAGCCGTATGTGTACTAGAGTAAGGGGGGGCGACAAGTGTGCATGTGCCTGGATAGTACCACTGAGATTCTCTCTCCACGCATTCCCACATGCAAACCCCCCAGTGTCCCTCTGTGTGCTGCCCGTGTAGCTCAAAGCAGCCGTATGTGTACTAGAGTAAGGGGGGGCGACAAGTGTGCATGTGCCTGGATAGTACCACTGAGATTCTCTCTCCACGCATTCCCACATGCAAACCCCCCAGTGTCCCTCTGTGTGCTGCCCGTGTAGCTCAAAGCAGCCGTATGTGTACTAGAGTAAGGGGGGGCGACAAGTGTGCATGTGCCTGGATAGTACCACTGAGATTCTCTCTCCACGCATTCCCACATGCAAACCCCCCAGTGTCCCTCTGTGTGCTGCCCGTGTAGCTCAAAGCAGCCGTATGTGTACTAGAGTAAGGGGGGGCGACAAGTGTGCATGTGCCTGGATAGTACCACTGAGATTCTCTCTCCACGCATTCCCACATGCAAACCCCCCAGTGTCCCTCTGTGTGCTGCCCGTGTAGCTCAAAGCAGCCGTATGTGTACTAGAGTAAGGGGGGGCGACAAGTGTGCATGTGCCTGGATAGTACCACTGAGATTCTCTCTCCACGCATTCCCACATGCAAACCCCCCAGTGTCCCTCTGTGTGCTGCCCGTGTAGCTCAAAGCAGCCGTATGTGTACTAGAGTAAGGGGGGGCGACAAGTGTGCATGTGCCTGGATAGTACCACTGAGATTCTCTCTCCACGCATTCCCACATGCAAACCCCCCAGTGTCCCTCTGTGTGCTGCCCGTGTAGCTCAAAGCAGCCGTATGTGTACTAGAGTAAGGGGGGGCGACAAGTGTGCATGTGCCTGGATAGTACCACTGAGATTCTCTCTCCACGCATTCCCACATGCAAACCCCCCAGTGTCCCTCTGTGTGCTGCCGTGTAGCCCATAACAGCCGGAGTGAGGAGAGGGGGCAGCCGTGAACCCCTCCGTCCCCCTCCTTTCCAAAACCCCTCTGTGTGCTGTCGTGTAGCCCATAGCACCCGTAGTGAGGGCGCAGCAAGCACGAGTATGCCTGGATCTCTCACTCCATGCATTGCCGCGTTGCAACCCCGCCCCTCCTCTTTGAATGCCCCTCTGTGTGCTGCCATGCCCCACAGCCCGTAGGGGACGGGGTGAGGGTGCTCACCCCCATTGTGGGTGTGACTGGGGCAAACCGGTCGCTCACTTCCCCTTTGATGCCCCTCTGTGTGCTGCCCCACAGCCCATAGCGGACGGAGTGAGGGTGCTGACGCCCATCGTGAGAGGGGTGGGGGACGAAGGATGGGGGTCCACAGAGGTTCTCGACGTGCTGCATGTAGCGGTAGGCAGAGAGGGGTATGCAGCGGTATGCAGCGGTATGCAATGTTATGCAGCGGTTTGCAATGACATTCAGTGGTACGCAATGATCTACAGCAGTATGCAACGGTTCATAGCGGTATGAAACTATTTACAGCGGTATGCAACGTTTGCATCGGTATGCAATGATATATACAGCTTATATATACAGTGGTATGCAGAGACTGCTTCACAGTCACACTGACTGACTCATGCTTCAGAGAGTGGTATACAGAGAGTGGTATACAGAGAGTGGTAAGTAAAGAATTCCCCTCGTTCTCTCCCTCCTCATTCTCTCCTCTCCCAATCCATCCACCCATTCCCTCCCATCCCACTTCTAAACCCTGTCGGACTTCCTTCCCTTCCACCCGCTTCCCTTCCTGCCCAGTCCACCCGACCAGATGTGCGGGAGGCGGAGGGTCTTATTTGCTCTCTGCTGCACGCTACATGCGCCCCCTATCTTTACCTCCTCTCCTCATATGCTGTGTTGTGGCACCTTCCACCCACTCTTCCCTTCCCGTCCCTCCCAGTCCACCCGATCAGATGTGAGGGAGGCGGAGGGCCTCATTCGCTTTGTGCTGCAAGCTACATGCGCCCCCTACCTTCACCTCCTCTCCTCGTACGTGTCACCTCTGCACCTCCTTTTACCCCATTTTGTCGTGCTTTTCTTACCTACCTCACATGCACCCCCTTCCATGGTCGTTGCAACCTCCTTTCCTTCATCTCTCACATACGCCTATCTTTAACTCCTCTTCCAATTCTAAATTCTAAGTTGTCTCTCCGTTTCCCAGTTCTGTAGTGTCACATCCTCTCTCTTTACATCTCCTCTCTTCATCATACGTTACTCACATCACATGCGCATCCTTCTTCATCTCATTTCTTCTCGAGCGTTCAAGTTTCATGTTCTATTTGTATCATGCCTGACTGACTTGACTCCGACCTGACCCGACCTTATCGGACCTGACCCAACCTTATCCGACCCATCCCATCCCGCCCTGACCTGACCCGACCCAGCCCGGCCCGGCCTGACCTAAGCTGACCTGTCTGTACTACCCCACCCTCTCTTACATTGAGCTCCTAACCCTGATATCACCGCAGCTGCTGTTAGTTTCATTCTTGGCCCCGCCATCCTCCCTACGCCACCCCTCCCATTTCTCCCCCCCTCCCCCCCCCACACAGGTGGATGCAGGAGGGGCGGCTGGAAGACGACATTCACAGCGAGTTCTTCATTTCCGCATGCACCACTGCTACAGCGGCTACATCCGCCCCAGCCGCTACATTTACCACCCCACCTCCCCCCCTTTCTTTCCACGCTCCCCCCCCCACACAGGTGGATGCAGGAGGGGCGACTGGATGACGACATTCACAGCGAGTTCTTCATTTCTTCATGCACCACTGCTGCTTCCGCAGATGCGCACACAGCTACCACTGATGCTGATGCTGAACTCACCAATTCCACCACGCCTGCCACGGGGCGAGGGGAATGGCGGGGTGCAGAGGGGTGGGAAGGGGCGAATGTGGAAGGGCGGCGGTTTGTTGTGCGGTGTGATGCGGTGCCGGTGCTGTTCCAGTCGGTGGCTGACGATGTGCTGGCCACGGGGCAGCTGGTGCATGCGCTGAGGGAGCATGGGTACTTGAAGCAGGTGGGTTGGGGTGGGTGGGGTGCAGAGAGGTGGAATGAGGTGCGCGCATGGGGTGTGCTGGCCACGGGGCAGCTGGTGCATGCGCTGAGGGAGCATGGGTACTTGAAGCAGGTGGGTTGGGGTGGGTGGGGTGCAGAGAGGTGGAATGAGGTGCGCGCATGGGGTGTGCTGGCCACGGGGCAGCTGGTGCATGCGCTGAGGGAGCATGGGTACTTGAAGCAGGTGGGTTGGGGTGGGTGGGGTGCAGAGAGGTGGAATGAGGTGCGCGCATGGGGTGTGCTGGCCACGGGGTAGCTGGTGCATGCGCTGAGGGAGCATGGGTACTTGAAGCAGGTGGGTGGGTGGTGTGTGTGGGTGGCTGGTTGAGGTGGGGCGCGAGAAGAAATCAGGCGTGTGTGCATGGGATGTGTGTGTGTGTGGCTGATGTTGTGCTGGTCACGGGGCAGCTGGTGCATGCGCACAGGTAACATAGGTGGTTGATGCAGGTGGGCGGTTGGTGGGTGGGGTGGGGTGGGGTGGGGTGTGCAAAGGAATTAGGTGTGTGCATGGGATGCGTGTGTGGATGGGGGTTGTATGCAGCGATTCAACGCTGCCCAGGGGGCAGCTGGTGCATGCGCTCAGGCAGCATGGGTACGCAGGCGGGTGGGTGGTGTGTGTGGTGGGGTGGGGTGGGGTGCTAGAAGGAAATAGGTGGGTGCATGGGGTGCGGTGTGTGTGCTACACGGGGCAGTTGGTGCAAGCGCTGAAGGGAGCATGTTGGGCGGGTGGGTGGGTGGGTGGGTGGGTGGGTGGGTGGGTGGGTGCATGGTGCGCACTCATGCACGGTGTATGCAGTGCAATGAGATCGACCCCTTTCCACATCCTCGCTCTGGTATGCGCTGAAGGGAGCATGGTGGGTGGGTGGGTGCATGGTGCGCCTTGTCAAGCCTCTGCTTGGGTCAACACTCCCTCTCCCTTCTCCTCTCCTCCCTTTTTCACACCACAGCTGACTCCGTCAGCGGAAGAGGCAGAACGGCCACAGATGCAGCTGGGCAGTCTAGAGGAGAGCGTGGGTGCGCGCATGCAGGCAGTGCAGCAGACAATGCTAGATCTTACAAGGGTACAGTAGCATTGACAATGAACAAGGTAGAGTACTTTCATGCATTGCCATGGGTACTATTCCTGCAGCAGGTAGGGCACAGCCATGCAATGTGATGGATGCTAATGCTGCAGCAGCTAGGGTACTGTGAACAGGGTTGAGTATTGCTGCATGAGGTGTTGCTGCAATGAATAGGGTGTGATTAATAACGCCTCCGTGCCGCATGCCTCCGCGCCTCATGCCTGCATGCCTCCGTGCCTGCATGTCTGCATACCTGCATGTCTGCATGTCTACATACCTGCATGTCTTCATGCCTGCATACCTGCATGTCTTCATGCTTGCATCCTTCCATGCTTCCATGCCCGAGTGCCTCTATGACTGCATGCCCCATGACTGCATGCCCCATGTCTGCATGCCCCATGACTGCATGCCCCATGTCTGCATGCCCCATGTCTGCATGACCCATGTCTGCATGCCCCATGTCTGCATGCCCCATGTCTGCATGCCCCATGTCTGCATGCCCCATGTCTGCATGCCCCATGTCTGCATGCCCCATGTCTGCATGCCCCATGTCTGCATGCCCCATGTCTGCATGCCCATGCATCACCTGAAGAATCCGTTGTCATCACGGAGAGTGCACGCATCTGCCTCTGAGTGTGCTCGGGTGGGGAAGGGTTGGCCCTTTTATAACAGTATCCGCCGTCGTTCATCTTTCCCTCCCCCCCCCTCCCCCCGGTCCCCATGCTCGCCCGTTTTTTCTGTCTGCAAAGCAGAGCCACCTGCTGGGGCATCTGCTCACCATCAGACGAGTGCTACTGCTCTCCCAGGTACGCCTCGCTCTTGTTCAATCCATTCACGTGGGTAAAAAAACCACGACAATTCTTTCATGTCCTCCATTTACTCATCCATCCACCCATCATGAGCCCATCAATCCATCCCTCCCTCCGTCCGTCTCCCTCACTCCCCTCAGCCCTTCCAGCAAGCCTCCTCACCCACCCTCATGCTCATTATGTGGCCGTCCTTGTCATGCCTTTCTGACTCCCCTCACCCTCACCCTCACTCTCAATCACCCTCACCACATCGCCAGGCGGATTCCTGGTCGGTCGGTCTTCATGGCGTTGGCAGGCAAGGGAGGAGCTCTGAGTCTGACATGCAGCCGGGTCGGCTCATCATGTGCCCGCCCCGCCCTTGTCATGTCCCTCCTGACTGCTCCTCACCCTTACTCACCTCACCATCAAATCCATCAGGCGGACTTCCTGTTGGATGCATGGCAGTGGCAGGCGAGGAGGGAGGAGAGGAGAGGAGAGGAGAGGAGAGGAGAGGAGAGGAGAAGAGAGGAGAGGAGAGGAGAGGAGAGTCGGTGAGAGTCGGTCAGCAAGCCACGCGCTTACCACCCCCTGTCATTTGTGTTATATCCCACCTGACTTCTCCTCCCCCTCACCCCTCCCCTCCAGGCTGACTTCCTGTCGGACTTCATGGCGCTGGCAGGCGAGGAGCTCTGCAAGCCGGTCAGCAGGGCGTCACAGGCTCGCATCGATGTGAGCATGCACCATGCCCCATGCCCCATGCCATATGCACCATGGACCATGCACGTTGCACGATGCAGGTTGCCCCATACATAATGAGGGGCCCCGATATGTAAGAATGTAATGGTATTTCCTTCATCCCACTGTCATTCAATGTCAACGGTATCCTCATGCCATAACTCCTGAAGAGACCCCAACTGAGATCTCAATAACTCCTGAATGTCTCCTTCCATTATACAAGCCCTAATCTTCTCATTTCGTCCCACCCCTTCTTTCCCCCCAGCTCTCACTAGGTGCCTCTCTCCGCGCCTCCACAGCAGCCACAGACCCTAATAGTGATCCGGCCTTGCGCACATGTGTGACCTTCCATTATCCCAACCCTATGCTCCTCATCTCTTCCCACGCCTTTCTCCCTCTCCAGCTCTCATTAGGCGCCTCTCTGCGCTCCTCCACTGCAGCCAATGACCTCAACTGTGACCGCCTCTCTGCACACCTGGTGAGCACGGCTGCATGAAAGTATGTATGGATGGATGCTCAAACAGTCGCAGCAGGTGATTTTTGAGGCACCTTAGAAACCAATGCAGCTTCTGACACCAACTGTGACCGCCTCACTGCACGCCTGGTGAGCAAGGATGAAAGTATTAATGTATGGATTGATGGATTGATGGTATACACACAGGTGCGCAGGTGAGCGTGTGGGGCATGTGTGAGTTTCAGCTCAAAGGTTGTAATATAAGTGCTCGTGGATGGATGAACACGCACTTGTGCACACATGCGTGCACAGAAGAAAAGAAGTCCTTCCTGTGCCACCACACATCCGCCTTGCATCTCCTATCTCTGCCGTACACATGCCCTTTGATTGGCCTCGAAGTTCGACCCGTCACCCGTGATTTGAGAACCCTGCATGCTATTGAACTCCTTTCATCAACAAGACCTAGTGGCCATGTAGGACCCCATCAATGCACCTCACCTCCGTACCGATTCCCACTCACCCCTCATTCATGTCCCCTAACGTCTCCCCAACTTGCCCCATTTAGGCTCCTGCTGATCCACCCAGTCCTTCCAACTCATCGCTCCAACAGCAGCCCCTACAGTCACAACCTCTACAATCACAATCGCCACACCTCCTTACCCCACTCACCCTTCATCCATGTCCCCCAATGTCTCCCCGTCTTATTCCAATCAATCAGGTCCCTGTCGAACTGCCCAGTCCCTCCAACTCATCGCTTCCACAGCAGCCCCTCCAACCTCTCCAATCACAATCGCCGCCCTCACACCGCGCACCAGACCCACCACAGTCGCATCTGCACCAGTCACGGGAGAGCATGGACGGTGCAGATCTGCTGAGCAGCCTCCAGGCGTACGATCAATACGAGGACCTGCTAGCAGATGATGCAAATGATGACTCTCTTGCTGCTCATGCTCATGGTGGTGGCAGCGGTGCGGATGGCGATGGTGGTGGGAATGACAGGCAACTCTACAGCAACCCTCTCTCGCTGCTACCCCAGGTCACCCCTGTTCGGCCAGTCACCCCTGTTCAGCCAGTCATCCCTGCAGCTGCAGCGGCGGCACAGACACCAAGGGGGGGAGGGGCTGAACGGAGGGGAGCTTCAGGGGAGAGTGGATGGGAGGCTATCTATATCGACTACCAGGTGGGTTCATTTCCGAGGCGCCTCAAAGATTGACGACCACCAGGTGGGTTATTTTCTAAAGTTTACTCGAGAATCTCCCCATCATTTCTGGATGGGAGGCCGTTCATATCGACTACCAGGTGGGCTCGGTTCTCTTTTCCACACCAGCCTCTACCACAAGTGAAAAAACGATTTTTACACAAGTCAGAGCTGAATTTTTCCCGATTACCTACCAGGTGGGCTCGGCTGTATTGATGGTGTTTCCCCCATCCCCCTGCTCAGAATCAACACCATCGACAAAGATGGTGTTAAGGTTGGAGGTTGATTTTAGAGACTTCTCATAATCAACTGCCAGCTGTACCAATGGTGCTGTGCTGCCCGCGTCCTCCCTGCTCGCCGCCAACCGCAGCTTCTGCTTCCTGCTCTCCTCACTCCCCTTCCCTTCCTCTGTCCGCATCTCACCCGTTAACCTCACCTGTTACCGACCTACGAGCTTTTCCTTCCCCATTCACTGCAGGCGCGCTGGCCAGTAGTGTCCATGGTGGTGGTACCACTCATCATCTGTCACCCACGCGTTTCCCACCTCTTCTTCCTTCCCTACACACTGCAGGCCCCTTGGTCAGTATCCGCAGTGGTGCCCCCATCCGCCCTGCAGGGTTACAACCGTCTCTTCCGCTTCCTGCTTGCCTCATCCCAGCATCCCATCCCCCTGTCCTTAAGCCACCTGTTACTCCCCTTTACTGCAGGCCCCTTGGCCAGTATCCGCGGTGGTGCCCCCATCCGCCCTGCAGGGTTACAACCGTCTCTTCCGCTTCCTGCTTGCCTCATCCCAGCATCCCATCCCCCTGTCCTTAAGCCACCTGTTACTCCCCTTTACTGCAGGCCCCTTGGCCAGTATCCGCGGTGGTGCCCCCATCCGCCCTGCACGGTTACAACCGTCTCTTCCGCTTTCTCCTCGCCGCCAGGCGCACCCACCTGCACCTCGCACTCGCATGGTCTGCCCTGCAGGTAGACCCGCGGGGTTGATGATCGGTTCTGGTGATGCGCGCATGCAGTGCATGCTTCTTCCAGTGGTGGAGTGGAGTGCTTAGAATAAAGCCACACATGCACGTTGAACCTAGCTACGTCTAGGTCTCTGCCTCGCATCGTCATTCGCATCAGCTGCGCTAGAAGCATGCTTCTCTGCTGCTGCTGGCGCCGCCACCGCCACTGCTGCGAATGTTGGTGCTTAAGTCCCTGAATGCCCACTTACCATTAACTTGTATTTCCGTTGTTGATTTCATCTGTATTGTACTTGTTATTCTCGCCTTCGTCACCTCACCCACACCTCCCATCCTTTGACCTTTTCTCGTTCTCCTTCCAATCTGGGTGCATTCTTGAGGCGAATCTGGGTCCCCAATACACACTTCACTCCCACTCGCAGCTGACACGGGGACTGAAGGTGGAGGGGACAATGCTGCAGCGCGTGCACTGGCTGCGGCATCGCATGGCGTGTGCTGTCACTGCCATCCTTGACCATGTTGCATACGCAGTGAGTATACATGTCTGCATGGGTACATGGGTGCACTGGCTGCGGCATTGCATGGCATGTGCTGTCACTGCCATCTCGACCACGTTGCATATGCGGTGCGTGTGTGTGGGGACGATGGGGAGAAGGGAGGTGTGTGGGTGTGCGTGCATGGCTTTCCATCCTGGCTGCGGCATCGCATGGCGTGTGCTGCCATTGCTATGTTCGGCAGTGTGGCACATATGGTGGGTGCATGTGTGATGTGTGCGTGCGTGCGTACATGTTTTCCTGGTTTGAATATCAAATGCACTCTCAAAGGCACTCTCAAACCACTTATGCATGACCTGACTTCGTCCCATACCCATACTGTGTTCTTTATGTTTTTCACTTACTCTCTCCTGTGTGCCCCTTCCTTTCCCCTAGCCTTACCTCTTCCCATTGATTCCTGTGCCCTCATTTTCTTCATCCGAACCTCCCTCCCCTCCCACCAACCTTAAGTGATCAGCCCTATTTTCAAACACATGACATCGTCCCTCTTCCCCTCTCCTCCCTCCCCTCCCCTCCGCTCCCGTTCCCTCCCCTCACTTCCCGCTATCACCACACCCCTCCCCTCCCGCTTCCCTCTTCACCACTCTGTCCCCCCACCCTCCTCTCCTCCGCTCATAATGCCTGCAGGTGATAAGCCCCAAGTTCGACCTCATGACAACCAGATTGACCAAGGCTACCTCCTTCCCTTTCTTCCTTCCCTTCCCCTTACACCAGTCATCCTCTGCCTCCGTCCCATTTCCCCCCTGTCCGGGCCACAACAGGTGATAAGCCCCAATTTCGACCTCATGACATCAAGATTGACCAAGGCTACCTCCTTCCACCAGGTGACTGAGTCTCCTCCGCCCTCCATCGCTTCGTCACTCATGAGCACATGCATGAGCACGTGAGGGCATGAGCACAGGAGCACATGTGAACATGCGCACATGCGCACGTGAGTGCATGAGCACAGGAGCATATGAGCACAGGAGCACATGAGCGCATGACCGCATGCCTGAGCACATGAGCGCATGACCGCATGCCTGAGCACATGAGCGCATGACCGCATGCCTGAGCACATGAGCGCATGACCGCATGCCTGAGCACATGAGCGCATGACCGCATGCCTGAGCACATGAGCGCATGACCGCATGCCTGAGCACATGAGCGCATGACCGCATGCCTGAGCACATGAGCGCATGACCGCATGCCTGAGCACATGAGCGCATGACCGCATGCCTGAGCACATGAGCGCATGACCGCATGCCTGAGCACATGAGCGAATCCGCATCTCCCGACTCCATCACTTCATCTTCACGGTTCGCCCACACCACCAATCCGTCCTCATGCTTTCCGCCTTGGTCTTTTAAATCGCACTGACCAGCGTTTTTGTTTCTGGTAAAATAAATATATTATTATAATCAATACTCCTTTCTTTTATATTACTGTTTGCCCGCCCGTACAGATTGTGCTGGAGCACCAATCATTTCTTGACACGTGTCTCTCAGAGGGGCTTCTGGATTCCTGCCCGCACATTCGTGAGGTGTGTAACGCCCGCCTGCCTGCCTGCATGGTGTTAGTGCTACTCTAAAGCTGAGTAGGAGCGTGGGCCATGGCACGTACTGGCCTTGCTGTAAACCTCGCTTACGATCATTAGGTCTGTAGCGCCCACGATCATTAGGTCTGTAGCGCCCGCCTGCCTGCCTGCATGGTGTTAGTGCTACTCTAAAACTGAGTAGGAGCGTGGGCCATGGCGCGTACTGGCCTTGCTGTAAACCTCGCTTACGATCATTAGGTCTGTAGCGCCCGCCTGCCTGCCTGCATGGTGTTAGTGCTACTCTAAAGCTGAGTAGGAGCGTGGGCCATGGCGCGTACTGGCCTTGCTGTAAACCTCGCTTACGTTCATTAGGTCTGTAGCGCCCGCCTGCCTGCCTGCATGGTGTTAGTGCTACTCTAAAGCTGAGTAGCAGCATGGGTCATGGCGCGTACTGGCCTTGCTGTAAACCTCGCTTACGTTCATTAGGTCTGTAGCGCCCGCCTGCCTGCCTGCATGGTGTTAGTGCTACTCTAAAGCTGAGTAGCAGCATGGGTCATGGCGCGTACTGGCCTTGCTGTAAACCTCGTTCACGCTCACTAGATGTGAAGCGCCTGCCTCGCTGTGTGGTAATCCCGTTGCTCACGCAGTACGCACTGCAGCGTGGTGAGTTCCTGCACGTGCCATTCTCACTCGGGCTCGTGAAGTGTTTTGAGGCGTCGCAAAACCGTGTTGATTACTTAATTAGTAGCTTATCACTGCCGTCTCTTTTTTGTACGGCCTATCACTGCACGGTGTTGTCGCTAGGCCATTTTTCTGCCATCCCGCCATTGCTCCTGTTGAGAGTCCCACAAAAAGCAACCTCCATTGTTCTTTCTGTGATTTTGAGATGCCCTTGGACCAGGTCGTCCTTCCTTTCTGGAAGGGCATGGCTTTTGAGAATTCTTGATAACCAGCTTGACTCATTTTGTACTGGGGCTGGTCCGGGTCATCTTTCCTTTCTAGAAGTACCTCTCTCCTTTCCTGTATTTGGCCTGCACAAGGTCACGGCTTTTCTTTATGAAATGTAGTTTGCCCACTCAACTGCCAAATGGCTTTCCCGACTTTCTCCCCCGATTCTCCTTCCATCTCCTTCCCATCTCACCCATCTGCCTGCAGAAACTATCTGCCCTCCTCTCCATCTCTCTTCGCTTCGCCACCACAGTCAGCACCACCATCCACACAGCCTCCTCTCTCCCGGGCCTTGATTCGTCATCTTCATCATCATCAGCAGGAGGAGGAGGATGGGGAGGAGGAAGGGGGGGTTATGGGTCGGAGGGTAGAACCAGTGGAGGCGAGCTGGCTGATTATGCCTACGGTGATGCCACGTCAGATGCCAAGGGACAGGCGGCGCGGGCGGCATTCCGTCGGCAGTTAGCGGTGGAGGAGCTACAGCGGGGTTTGGAGCGGGAAGGGTTTGTTGAAGAGATGAGGTGGGTTGGGGAAGGAGGGGAAGGGGGGTAAAGAGGGGGAATTGAATAGGGGTTTGACGGAGACACTTTTGAGACGCCTCAAAATTGGAGAGGGGTTTGAATCAAAGGAGACACTGACTTTGCAATTAACATATCCCCGCCTCTCTCCATCTTGTCTCCTGCTCTCACCATTTTACCATCTTCCCATCTCCCCATCTCCCCATCTCCCCATCTCCCTGCTCTCCCCAACTCACCCTCTTCCCATCCCACCATCCCACCAGCGCCATGCACACGGCCTTCGCAGCCTCTCTCCGGGCCGCCACTGCTGCCATCGCATCTGCCCTCCGAGACCATCCAGTGTTGCTCTCACTGCACCTCGCCCTCACCGCCTTTGCCAAAGGCCTTCCTTAGAAGCTTCCTTTGAGTCGACTCAAACGAGTGTCACTGCTGCCATCGCATCTACCCTTCAAAACCATCCAGTGTTGCTCTCACTGCACCTCGCCCTCACCGCCGTTGCTAAAGGCCTTCCTTAGAGGTTTCCTTTGAGTCGACTCAAACGAGTGCCATTGCTGCCATCGCATCTGCCCTCCGAGATCATCCAAAGCTGCTCTCCCTGCACCTCGCCCTCTGCTGTTGCCATAGGCCTGCCTTGAACGTTTCCCTTTTTGTTCATTATGGCAGTGCAACTGGCCGGTGTGAAGCTTAGCTTGTCGGAAAGTCACAGCATGACTAATCCATAGAATAGTTTCTCTGCATGGAAGTTCATACCACAATATTGGCAGGCAGTTTACCAAGTTCTGGTTGTTTTGTTACCTAATGAATGAATTGGCTTGTACATGTCCTAGATTTTCATACAGTATGTGTGTCTTTGTGAGGCCTGTATTCCATTGAAAGATGTTCGTATCTGTATCATTGAATCTCAGACCATACATTCATCAGGGTATCATGACTAACCTGTTCTCAATCACTTGTTTTACCTGGATTTTTGGGATCTGGATCAGGTGCTCTGTGTCTTTTTACCTAGGAAGCTGTGCAGTTCCTGAAATCTTGATAACGGGTCAATTTCAGTTCAGCCGCCGCATCTGACGGGGAACGCGATTTTCAATGTGTGACACGTTCAGCTCTGGGGCGTATTCAAGACTCAGCACCGGGGTTTTCGTTCATTGTCGCGAATTTCGTAACCATCACATTTCAGACGCGGATATTCGTTTCATGTGATTGGAGTACAGAAGTGTCCTCTAGCAGTGTTGGGCAACTTCACAGCTTCGGGTCAGTGCACGCCAACGAAATGCTTGAGTTACCTGATCTGAACCAGCTGCTGGATTGGGACTGAGGGCGTGTCCCACGAGTTCATTTGGGGGAAAAAACTAAATTGTTACGTAACTTTGACAAGGCAGCGTAGTGTACACTATGACGAAAAAATAACGCAGCGCGTCAGCACTGCGCCGAACGAAGTTGCACTAGATGGACTAGGCACTCCGCTCACAAAAAAACTCGTATCCCGATCACATTCGCCATGGTTCGCGAACGGTAACCCGGGCAGTTGCGAATCGACTGTGTCAAAATTGGCCGTTCGCCTTTTCTGGGCGAATTTTGAGATTGGAAATTAGGGTTACGCGGACCTATTCGAAGTGATGGTACGTACCTTGGAAACTGTTCTTGAACGTTTTTAATACGAACCTTTTGACGCATTCAGCGCGTCAATGTCGCGCGCCATTGAAGACGCATGTCTTTTGTAGTCCAGTATGAAGGGCTACAAAAGCAAAAACAGGGTTACCAATGTCCACATGAGCTGTAAACGAACTCGTGCGACCCGCCCTGAGAACGCGAGCTCCGAATGAATTCAAACTGATTGACCTCGCAAGGCCCTCTGTATCTCGTTTCTGCCGCAAAGCTCCGTAGTGGACCGCAGAAACTATTCGTTCATTGGTCCTACTCAGTCATCACGAAATCTACTCGTTCATTCGTCCTGCTCTTAGTCATCGCGATCCACGACCAATGGCATTCTCTAAAGCCGTAGCACAAACGCCCATCCGATTCGGCCCCAGTTTATCCGCCATGCACCGCGGAACCTACTTGTTCATTAGTCCTACGTTGCCTATCGCGATCCACAACCAATCAGATTTCCTAAAGCCGTGGCGCAACCATCCCTCCGATTTGGCCTCGGCTATCTGCCATGTACTATCCTCGCCCTTCAGTTTTGTTTTAAACAGTCATATTCGTTGATGGTAAGCACGCCTTCTATCTTCGCCTCTCCAAGTCTGATTCAACTAGATCACTAGAGCTACCACGACTACCAAATAGTACCTCTTTTCCTGAGAATGGCGCGTCTAAGCGGAATTGCGGCTCTCTCTCTCCTGCTAGCCGTTGCCCTCGTTCTCTCAGCGTATGCTTCGAAAGCGGTTGCCCAGCAGGTGGAGCGAACTTCGGATGGTAAGTTCCCCCCTCCTCCTTTTCCCTCATCTAGTAATGTATCCTGAATTCTTCCGCATCACGGCGTTCGCTATGCCTGCCAATCAGTCGCAGTTGGGAGATTTCGTATATCTGCAAGGCTGTGTGTTGTTGCTGCTGACTAAAAAACTACCCCGAATCCCCGAATTTTGTCGTTCTTTCGAGTGGGCCGCAGGTAAATATTTGTGTGCTGATGTGAGGAAGGGCCAAGATACGTTTCTATCCCAGTATTGCAAGACCAACTTCTCCTTATGCGACGCGCCGACGCACAATTACTATGACAAAGATTGCAAACGAGCCCCTGATAGTAAGTACGCTGCCACCCACGGGACACTAATGATGGCTTAATGATGGCATGTTGACGACTACTTCCTACTTGCCCTGCATCGTGTGCCACATCATGTTGCCACATCATGTTGCCACATCATGTTGTCACATCATGCCAATGTCTCAAAAAGCAATCTAGTTGATTCTTTTGTGTCACAGACTGTCACAATTCAATACCTCATCATTTTTCCTGTTTTCGGCCCTGATGCTATCACATCTTCTCACTGGCCATGGCATCACAATCTGGTTACTAACCCTCGCCTTTTCCGTCACATCCTGACTGGCCCACAACGTTTATGCCATTCTCAGGTGGAAGTACCCTCGGTTTTTGGTTTAAAAGGTTCTACTATCAGCTGAAACCTTGAAAGGTTCCAGCTCATGGCATGAGTGGGGGCAGCGGCGGTGTTCATCACATCTGTTTAGATCTAGGGTTTTGTGTTGAGAAGAGACCCCTGCGTTGCTTGTGGAAGTAGTCTCTGTGGTGACTAGTGAGCGGTCTGTCTCGCAAATGCGTATATCTACCGGATCATGCTTTGTTCACATCGCTGTTGTGTGTAAACCATTGTAACATTGTAACTGATGGAAGTTCTCTTTAAAGCGACGGGCAACTTCTGGCAGTGTTGGGTTCAGAAGTTTTTTTTTTGAACCAGGCTTGCCAGCGCGAAAGTGCTGGCTGGCGAAAACCAGGATTTCGTGCGGACACTTTCCATCCGCAGTAACAGTTCGCCAGGGTTCTGGGTTTTGGGTGGCAAATGTGCACCGTCGCTTTAAAACCAGGGTGCACATTCAACGCGGTTCGGCTTGAGATGTTGGGAAGGGGGTTTGGAGAAAAACAGTGATTGGCTCACGAGGGGCGACAAAAAAATGATTCCGCTAGAGCTTCGGGCATTTCGTAGGTGGCGGGAGGGGGTGAAATGGCGGGAGTGGGTGAAACCGAATGGCGGGAGGGATGAAACAGATTGGCGGGAGGGTGGGGAAACGAAATTGCGGGGGAGGGGGGAAACAAAATTGCGGGGGAGGGGGGAAACGAATTTCGACGGGGGGGGGGAAATGAAATTGCGGGGGCGAGGGGAAACGAATTTCGACTTGAAGGGGTTGAAAGCACACCTCGTAACCCACTCAGTCAAGGGATAACCTTTGATGCACATTCAGCTGAATGTGCACCCCGGTTTTAACAACACAAGCTAACATCAAAATGCAATACTCATGCATTTCCATGATACGGTAGCTTCATCATCACCAAAATGTTTCTGTCCCAAACCTGGCCCAAAAATGGTAGAGCAGAGTCTGAGAGCGAATCAGGTTGAGCTGACGGGCTTGGGGAGATGGGCTCGAGCACACGAGTCTGCTGAGAGCGAATGAGGTTGAGCTGACGGGCTTGGGGAGATGGGCTCGAGCACACGAGTCTGAGAGCGAATGATAAGAATTGGTAGCTTGTGAAATGTATGGTGGTTTTCCAGAGTTTGGTGTTTCGATATTGCAACGCGGCCTCTCGTGTCGGAGCTTCGCTTTGGGTGACACTCAGATCAAGGTTGTTCTTTTTCGCTCAAAACCTTACCCAACCGTTTCAGACCGCTCATACATCAGACCTTTCCTAGGCTCTGCCTGAGGGGACCTCTGCTCATTTTACTGCTGGTTGCTCGTTCGTCCAATCAAGCCGTTCCGTCATTCGCGTCGCACCATTTGACTGTTGCTTCTGCGCCCCGGGCTTGTCTCGATTTTTTCCTGCTTTTACGACCGACGAAATATTTTCAGCCTTGTGCCCGCCACGTCACGCACGCGCACATGGACGACGAGCAAGGCCAGCTCTCCGTCTTCCTAGCCTTTCGCGAGAAATGCGACGCGCTGGAAGCCGCGATCCGGGCTTTAAGTTCCAAGGATTCCGGTTCCGTTGCCGAATCTGCTCAGTCGGGGATCAACGGCGGGGAAAGTAGACAACAGGTGGACGATGCAGGAAGCAATCAACGGTCCGGATTGAACGCGGATCAAGCGGCGGTGGCAGCGCTGCGCGCGGTGGAAGATCTAGTAGCGCACTTCGCGCCGTCGGTCCCGCGGCGCGACGTGGAGCAGATGACGTCACGCGTGGCCGCGCTTCGCGCCAACCTGGAAACTGCCCGATCCGCCTCGAAACCCAAAAAACGATTCGCCTACTGGAGCTGCTGGGACTGGGGGTGTTGCTGGGGCTGCTGGAGTTGGTCCTACTGGAGCTGCTGGCGGTACTGGAGCTGCCGGTCCTGCTGGAGTTGGTGCTGCTGGAGCTGCTGGAGCTGGAGCTGCTGGGGGTGTTGGCGCTGGTGTTTCTGCTGGCGCTGGTGCGTCTGAGGGTGCTGGAGTTGGCGCTGTTGGAGCTGGAGGTGCTGCTGGCGCTGGTGCTGCCGCTGGGGGTACTGGTGCTGTCCCTGCTGGTTCTGGAGGCGCTGCGCGGCCGCGGCCGTACTTCGTTCCGCTCCTTGAGCAGGTTCTTGGTCTTCCGCCTTCTACTGGTCCTTCTCCTCCCTTAGAGTGTCCACCGCCTGTCCAGTCGCAGTCACAGTTACAGCCCGCCTCCCCCCTACCTGCTCCTTCTCCCTACATTGGTCCTACTGGAGGTCTTGCTGAGCGTCGTGAGCCTGCGCCTCGTCCTGCGTCGCCTG